TGCACTGGTGAAGTAAAGAGTTTGTAACAAGGAGTTCATATAACATGTTGCACCCTGGTTTTTGAGTCCAACATATCCAGTRTGCTTCTTAGAATCCCACCTAAAAAACATGTAATAAATATCAAATGTCAGTGTTCTTGAGAAAAATACAGTGTTATAGTACAATCAAGCACACTATGTGATTGAGATATAGCCATAATAATGTCACTTTGATAAATACTTAGCAGCTTCAGAAACTGTTTTTGAAATACTTACGCAACTCCATGAGGAGCATCAGCATTAACATGAACCTCWACAGTGATGGAATCTTTATTGATGAAACCCTTATTTGGATCAAGAATATCCTGGTACAACAAAACACATCAAATAATTACTAAATCATTCTTGATACCAATAAATACAGAGATTTAATGACCTCCATTTACTTACATTCCATGCAACAAAATGGCTGAAGCCCCAGTCATTCTCCTTGGCATAAAACAGATGAGAAATCTCTGTGAAACAAYAAACATCAACAATTTATTACAGAAAGGATAGCTTATCACTTTTTTTTATTTTGTACTATAATTGTACTTGTCAAACTTACTTCTACTGAAATCTTCCTTTTCATCAAGATGGTTTTTCAGCGTGAGTTTTGCCGAAGCTTGACAAGACCATGAGCTAACAAAACATTTCATGTAATGTTATTACTATTATCATTATTTATTTACAGGGTTTACACAAACAACTTACAGGGTATCTAGCTTTGGATCACATTGTAAGAAGAACCCAAGGCTTTTCACTCTTTCATGAGCATGAGATGATGTCCGAGGCATTAACATAATACGCCTGAAAAAAAGATCAATATCATGATTAGAGGTAAGGTTGTAAAGTGATAACCATAATATAGTCAGGCCTCTATAATAGCCCTGAGCTCTCAGYATAAATCTTTATAAAGGCTCCTAGTTAATGACACCTTTTACTAATAATACAGCTTTTTACCCAATGGATTTTGCAAAGACTGTATCGAAKAAGATATGATGGAAATATTACATGCACTAGTAATTTCTAAATAACAGAACATCCATTGATTACAATGAAAAAATAATGATATACAATGAAAGTCAGTTGTACAYTGTACAAATTTGTGTTCAGAATAATCATATCATTGTTTTTATCAATGATCACAGGATAAAAGGAAAAACAGAATAGTTTGATTGAATTAAATAACTCAAGTTGAATGCAATCAATAAATCCCACAAAACAAACAGCTCTTCACTGAATTAGTCAAACAAAATGATCATTTCATGTTTCATGTGTTTTCATTCAAATTGATACAATAAATGTACATTGAAACCACAAACATTTCTATTTGCCAAGGGAAGAACACTGAAATCTAACACCAACATTGAAATATATAAACAATCTGTCAACACCTTGTCCAAAACATACAAAACTCTCTTATTGCTGAACAGAAATAGTGCTAAAACTGAGTTAGTTTTGTTGATAAATAATTAATCACCGTGATCTAGCTGGCTGTGAAGAAAAGGTACCACGAAAGAATTATATATAAACACATACCGTAAAATACAAAATAATATAAAAAACTATGGAGTCAAGCAAATGCCACAGACATAACACATTACTACCGTAGGAGGACGTCATTTTGAAGTGTATGTGTTTAGTTTACTTATATGAATGGGACAAAAAGATGACAAGAAAGTGCAAAATCGACCCATTTTAAGAGAACGTCTGGCAATCAGACGGAAACAATTCACTGAAATAGGTAGAATTAAAGCTAATCTTATTTAAACTAGCAGGAGAATTCTACAATAAACAAACATATGACAACAAATGATACAATTAAACGTACCATGGAAGATTTCTGACGTAAATGGGCTCACTTAGTGTGTGTTTATCAAGCTTAGAAAACTGTTGCACCGTGAAAGTTATAAAACCCTCAGCCCGAGCTGTATCTTCCTCCATTTGGACATCATCGTTATCTTTAGGTGAATTTGACCCATTCGTGACCATATTCGCCTCAATCGTATCTTCTGCAAGAAAACACTACAAGTTACAAGCAGATCTCAACGACAAGACACTGTAGTTAACCGGCGTCCCGTTTGAATTCTTGAAAACCCGCCACAAAAACAATGACTTTGATTTCGTTTCAAAGCACCACTTACCATCTTTTGTATCCATATCTTCTGGCTCACTTGCATTGTCGTCTGTATTCATCATAGGCTCTTTCACGGATGGTTCTTTGCGATCCCTACTACCACCAAGTGCTTTGGATACGACACGAACGTGTTTGCTGGCTATACGGCCAATTGCGCTTCGCAAACCCGTCACGGGCAAAACAAGACAGCTCTTAAATGCACATCTAACACACGGATGCTAGAATTAAAGTATTTTTGTAAGAGTGGATGGAGCGAAATGATACGAAAGTTGATCATCAAACGTTATTATTTCATTCCAAAAATCATTTTCGCCATTGTGACATCTTTCCTTTCTCAGCTACGGCTTGCAGTGCGCTATGGGTCACGGCACATGCGCAGTAGAAACAGATTTCAAAACAGACTCAGTGTCTTTCGGTCAACAATACCACAGGCACTCCAAAGACWACAGCTTAGCACACGAATACCAACATTTATGATATTCACTGTCTCCAAGTACCGGGGCAGATCTCCAAACACTGTTTTTCYTCCATTTTCAACGAAGTGAACACTGTTTTCATSATATGGATTGCTTACTCTTTGTTGGGTTTCCAGTGCTCTATATAAGTAATGAGCWAAAAACGAAATGGAAAGCAACTGTAATTTGACCACAATGACACAAATATTATCAATATTTTTTTATTCACACTTTAAAATACACCCAGAAATCATAAACCTTGAATGATCAGCACAAATGACTGCAATAATGACAACATTAATATCGGAATTCATCACTTCCAAATGTGCTGTTTTAATTCTTCTTGGGCTTGTTTCTTTAACTCTGGATGATCTTCCAGATATTCCTCAATCTATTAAAAGTATACAACAGAATTTTTTATTCTCAAGCTAAATATTAACAACAGAAAACAACTACATAATTACCGTAATTTTATCATTATAAACAGAGACAAAACCCCTGGATTAATAATTGTTCATGCCACAAAATTTTATGTATATAATATTCAATACAATAGAAAAGAAAAAAAAGCATGATGCTACGTTATTCATATCCACAGGTTCTTGAAAACCATAATAAGAAAATTATGAGTGATTTTCATAAACCAGTGGATCAATAATTGTTTGTGTATTTAAAAAGGTTTTTGTCTCAATATCAACTTACAGTCATATCTTCAAAAGGTTTCTGAGCCTTGACTTGTGCTAACTATAAAAATTAATATAAACTTTAGACAAAAAAAGTCTTCTTTTACTTGCCATTAATAAATATATCAATGACAATCTCAATTCTGTGTGTGCTCTACCATATTCATCATTATCATCATCATTATTTATAGTGTTCCACAAACCTCAGCTTCATACTCTTTAATTCTTGCCAATGATTCTTTTTTCAGCTGCTCACACAGTTTTTCCTACAAATGAGAAAGAACATCATAACAAGAAAACGTGCAAGTAAGAAACACTAAAAGTAACAAACCATTTCTTTCTCTCTATCAGCAATAATAGCACTCTTTGTATCCTTGGGATATGGTACAGTTATAGCTTCAAACTGCAAGAGAGGAAATATTAATGCCGTTATTAAATTTTGCAATAAGGCTTTTATTAGATTTTGATAATTTACAGCTATAATAAATAAATAAGAACTTACAGCTTTTTGAAAACTTGAAACCAATCCTGGTTTAGATATGTTCTTAGCATAGAATTCCCAATCAATAGGTTCTGGCTTGGCTGAAACTGAGTCCAAGCTGTGATAGAGATTTAAGATAAGSAATAAGCTTAGATTTACGTTACTTACAGTTCAAAATAAATACAACATATAATTTAAGATATATACGAAAAAATTGTTGGTTGAGCAAGGGAAATATTGAGTTCAGCTATTAAAAGTTGCAAAGCAGATTGTTAAAAGTGCTATAAAGAATCTTAGACTTTTTGAATTAGCTTTGCTAACAATATTAAGCATGTGCATGTGATCTCTTGGTTGCAACGTACTGTCAGTACCTTGTTTTCAGACCTTCGTAAGAAGTTCTATAACGCCCCATATCAGCTCTGGCTTCAGGAGGTACACGTGTACTTATCTTTACCCAATCTGGTATATACTTGCCTATTCTCCTTGCAGCCATAATGCAAGAAAATTACTAAAACTTGTTTACAATTACAAAATGGCTGTACACCGGCAAGATGGCCGTCTGTGAAGARGACTTACTTTGGATTGTGGGTAAAACCAGAAAATACACAGGAAACCCAAAAGTACGCCAACTCTGGCTCGGTCTTTCAAGGATATTACTTTCTCYTGCCTATTTGTACTGAAATCCCAGCCCGTAAGATTATTGTGTTTGCATATTACTGCATCTTTTAATTAATGCTAATAAATCTAATTATTTATTGACTTTTTTCCACATTTATTTTTCCCATAGGGACGCCTAGTCATTTATTGTTTGGTGTACTAGATCAGCTTTAGATCGGACGGTCTACACGTAACGTCATTGTTTACGTAGTAGTAACCTTGCAATGGAACAGAACTACAAATCCACTCCAATCACAGAGCTTCCAAATGAGACAACARCCGATATTGATTCGTCTGATTCGACAGGAATCGTAAGAATCCTTCGACAATGCGACGGGCAAATTTTTTCAGGATGGAGAGATCACTCGTGTATTTACGACGAGGAGACTCTCAAACCTCTTGAAAACCTTAACATATACATACAACAAGCTCTTCTACATCCTGATAGCTATTGTGTAGTGTTCAGTGGCTGTGGAACATCAGGGCGGATCGGGTTTATGCTCGCAAACAAGTTCAATGAGCTTTCCAAACTGCTGGGTACTTCCGGTCCATTCAGGTACATTATTGCAGGAGGTAACGCTGCTCTTTTCTCGTCCGTGGAAATGCCTGAAGACGATTGGCGTCAAGGACAAAATGATTTAAAGGAATTGGTAAAAGATAAAAAGAAGGTTGTATATATTGGTATATCWTGTGGATTGTCAGCTTCCTACGTGGCAAGTCAGCTGGATTACTGCATGGACTATCCCGATACCTTCCWTCCTGTCTTACTTGGATTTAACCCTGTACATTTGGCACGAAAAAACACAATTGAAAACTGCTGCAAGACGTTCTTTGATGTTGCTAAAAGACTATCTCGTAAGTGTTGTAATGCACCTAMCCCCCGTCCCCGTGGGGAAAGTCGAATGAGTAGCCAGTGAGGGGAAGTAAGGGGGGAAATGCTGATGCAGTAAGCGCGCGTATTTCATCCAAACCCTCTTTGGAATCATTTTCTSTCCATCATATCAAGTAGCRATGCGGGGAGTGATSAAATTGCAAAGAAAGAAAAAAACAGTAATCTCACTTTTGTATAGTCTCCTTCGCAGCCTACCCTTTTGTCGGGCTTCCTGGGTTAGGCTTCGAAGGAGACTAACTTTTGTAATATGAAAGCCGCTTTCGCGGGCGGGGCGCACGCCATATTGTTACATATATAACGAAAGAGCTTCAAAGCATCGCGCCGTCATAGTCATTCATTCTGTTTGCAGAATACAAAGATGGAATTATCATCAACCCAGTTATTGGTCCAGAAGCTATCACAGGTTCGTCTAGGATGAAAGGCGCAAGTGCAACAAAGATGTTGTTGGAAGCAGTTCTGATAAAAGCACATGTTGAAGCACTGGTGACCCCAGGACGTCACGAAGCACTGAYCCCAGGACGTCATGTTAGTTTGCGCAATGTTCTTCCATCTTATCAGTCAGTCTTTAGAGAAATCTATCTTCATATATCAGATATCTCACAAGTGGTCTCTCTTGCTGGCGAGAGTTTGAGAAGAGGCCAACACGTTTACTATCTGGGGTGGGGCTCASCAAGCTTTGTRGCTRTGCTGGATGCATCTGAGTGCGTTCCAACGTTYAGCTCATCCTATAACGATGTTAGAGCTTTYATAAGTGGGGGTTTAGAGTCCATTGGCATCGAAGGAACYGGGGTACAAACATCTATTGAACATTTYGTTTTAAATGTTTTACCTAATTTGACGAACTACGATACAGTAATTATGGTCTGTCTGTTTTCCAAGAACCTCGAGGAAGCCACTGAAATTGCTAAGAAAGTATCTCAGCAAGGAGCAAGAATTGCTGGCATAATATCCCAAAATACAATAAATATTGAAAACTTTCTCGACATCTGCATTAAAGTCGACARTACAAAGTACACSTACCCYAACTCTCTAGCAAACACGAACGTACAAAAATGTTTCCGCAAGTGCTTGGATGAGATGTCAGTGAAATTGTTTCTTAATGCCGTTTCAACCGGAGCTCACGTCATTAAAGGTAAAATTCTACGAAATTTGATGATCGATGTGAAAGTCAGTAACAACAAGCTTTTTCGTCGTGCAGTCGGAATTGTCTCGACGCTTTCTCGCGTTAGCGAATACGTAGCRTTAACCGCACTATTGAAGGCTATCTACAGACGAGAGACAATTCCAGAATCAWTGATAGACGAGGCGATATCTAACCACGTGTCAGTTGGTACASGTAAAGACAAAGTCGTCCCTTTGGCAATACTTCTCACTACTAACAAATTCAGCGTGCAGTCGGGATTGAAGGCACTTGAAGAGGGAAGGGTCTCAGATTTGCTGAAGGAACTAACAAATGAAGAATCATCTGCAGAGCGAAGAGGATGATGGTTTTTTTTCTTACCCCCCTCGATCATAAGATATTTAAAGGATGTATGTTGGCTAATCGCTACACAACAAAATAACGATTTGTCAGGGACTCCAATTGAACTGAGGAAGATCTGAGTTTACGCAAAGATAAATAAAATAAAATATTGGAAAGTGCAGTCATTTTATTCAGCGGTCAAATGTTGTCTTAGCAACTGTCTTTCAATTTCTACAAAAACATTTGCATGTATTATGTCAGTGTCATTTATCGTCATAAGTCTTTAATAACATTATATGTCACGTTAGTGACTAAATTTTTTTAAACCCTTTTCAGCACCGATATCGTACTAAAATATAGATGCAGTGGACAAACTAATAAAAATGAACCAAAGTGTTATTAGTGTAACATTAATAGTCATCGATATCACAAACTATCGAAATTAAAACTAAACTTGATTTAGTAAGATCAAAACCTAAAGAAGACCACTTTATTGATCGATTGCTCTTTTTAGCGGACGACTACCTTGCAACATAGCACTAAACTTGATTATCTTTAGTAAGACCACAAACTAAAAGAAGACCACTTTATTTATTGCTCTTTTTAGCGGATGACTACCTTGCAACATAGCTCTTGTAGCTAATATCAAACTAATAAGTCCTACGCCTAAGATTTCTGTAGAAGATATAGATTAGTTTC